ACAACTGTAAGCTAATTTCCCCCAACAAGCTGGGTATTCATATTAGCGACCTCGGAAGGATGCGATCCTGAGTCAAGTTTGAGCCCTGGCTGGTACTGAACTTGCAACCTTGTGGTTTGTGAGTGAATGACTGCAGTACAGGCATTTAACCACTGTGCCACCAGGGCTCTTTATAAAATAAATCAAGTACAGAAACTATGGTTGAAAGGTATCATCTTAATGGAGGGATTCCTTTCTGAGAAAAAGTAATGAGCCTTTTGCACTTGCATGCTTCACCTTAACACAAGGTTTAGATCCAAGAGAATCTGAGAAAAATAACGTTTTGAATCCTAGTGAAATCAGTGACTTTAGTTGACCCAGTGACTTCAGGGATACAAAAGCCTGCCTAATGCATGATTCCTCATAATATATGGGGCGGGAGAAGTAGAGCCACTTGCATTGGTCCAATCCTCAGTGTTTGGGGGCATGTCTACATTAGCAGGAGAACCCTTTTATTTTTGGGGTTACCCTGAATCACAGCAACCACAGGTTGTCTGCATGCACCGAGGCAAGTTGGGGAGAACTAGCCACACAGTGCTCCCTTTCAAACTCACCCCCATTCAATAAATTACAGTATGTGCAGCCACGTAGCAGTGGCCCCTCCAGTTTTGCCCTTACTCCTTGGCAGGCAAATATATATATTTCTGAATTCCCCTCCCAACATCACTATATCTAGATTTTAAGGTAAAAACTGGGAAAAACCCCTCCAGATTAAAGCCTTGGGGCAATGAAAAGACCCCGATACAGCCCCAATCGTCCTACGTGTAGTTTGGACAGCTCACTGTGATAATTAGGTGAGACTGTTTTATTTAGCCTGTGTAGACATACCTCAAGTCTATCCTGGCTACAGCCCTAAACCTTTGAGAAGTTTGTCTCCCTGAAGGGATAATCTTTTATGTGTTTAGCCAAACAGACTTCTAATTGTCTACAAATCTGATAACTCCATGTAATCAACCAAATGGAGACCTCTAGGCACATTCAAATAAATATGTAAAGGTTCCTCCTTTGTATTTTATAACTTGATGGACTGCAGATGGTGTTAACAAAGAAATTAGAGGTGGGACTAATGGGCAGTGCCACACTTCTCTTCTTACATATTCTGAGCACATGATGAGATAAATACCTGAGCAGGGCTTTCCTGGGGATCCAATCCAAATGATGTGTACCCCACTTTCAAAACTATTGTTTTATTCATATACAAATGTAATAAATGGTGTGATAGCCCT